AACAAGCCTGATGTGCAGTAACGGCAAAACCCAGAGGTCAGCTCAGCAGATGGAATTACACATGGAATACAAACTCTGACGAGGCACTCCAGGAGATCATATCACTGCCACTCGTTCTACTTTTATTTATTTATTGAGACAGGTTCTTGCTCTGTTGCTGAGGCTGCAGTGAACATAGCTTATTGAAGCCTTGGCCTCCTGGGTTCAAACGACCCTCCCACCTCAGCCTCCTGAGTAACTGGAACTAGAGGCATGCACCACCATGCCTGGCTATTTTTTTAAAATCTATATTTTGTAGAGATGAGGGTCTTGCTATGTTGCCCAGGCTGGTCTTCAACTTCTAGGCTCAAGAGATCCACTGGCCTTGGCCTCCTGAGCAGCCGGGACTATAGGCATGAGCCACTGCACTGGCCTGATTCCACTTTTAGATATCTATCAATATTTCAGAAATTGCACTTGAAGATCGACACAGTGGACTCACAAACAGGATGTGGACAGAGTTCCTCAGTACACCTGACCTGATTAGCAAAAATGGCAGAGTGGCTCAGGCTCTGGAGCCAGACTGCCAGGTTCCAATCCTGATCCCTTACAGGCTGTGCAGTCTTTATTTAAACTCTCTGTGCCTCAAGTTCTTCACCTGTTGGAAGAAGACCTTCCTCATTATGATGTGAGAACAAAAAGAGATAACACAGATGAAAAGCTTAGATCAGCCCTGGCAAAAATTAGATGTTCAAATGTTAGCCATTATTATTATCAAATGACCTGTGGGGAAAAGAAAAGAGAAACATGCTGCACTTATCCTCTATACTACATTTCTATGTAGCTATATAAAGTTCTCTGATTTGCTTTCCTAATTTAAAACTGTGTCTTTTATTTTTTTATTTTTTTTTAGATTTTAAAAAATTTTACTCCTGCCAGGCGTGGTGGCTCAAGCCTGTAATCCCAGCACTTTGGGAGGCCGAGGTGGGTGGATCACGAGGTCGAGAGATCGAGACCATCCTGGTCAACATGGTGAAACCCCGTCTCTACTAAAAATACAAAAAAAAATTAGCTGGGCATAGTGGCTCGTGCCTGTAATCCCAGCTACTGAGGAGGCTGAGGCAGGAGAATTGCCTGAACCCAGGAGGCGGAGGTTGCGGTAAGCCGAGATCGCGCCATTGCACTCCAGCCTGGGTAACAAGAGCGAAACTCCGTCTCAAAAAAAAAAAAATTTTTTTTACTCCTTATAAAACCATAAAATTGTGTCTTTTTAAGACATTCGCCAGGCATGGTGGCTCACACCTGTAATCCCAACACTTTGGGAGGCCAAGGTGGGTGGATCACCTGAGATCAGGAGTTCAAGACCAGTCTGGCCAACATGGTGAAACACCATCTCACTTGCTCTTAGCCAAAAAGCCGAGAAGTAACGTGAAACTCCATCTCTACTAAAAAAATACTAAAATAGCTGGGCATGGTGGCAGGCACCTGTAATCCCAGCTACTCAGGAGGCTGAGGCAGGAGAATCATGTGAGCCTGGCAGACTGAGGTTGCAGTGAGCTGAGATCACATCACTGTACTCCAGCCTGGGTGACACAGTGAGACTCTGTCTCCAAAAAAAAAAAAAAAAAAGAAAATTCATTTACTCTGTGCAACATCAAGTATACTTGATTACTACATAAAAGCAACAACAAAAACTCCAATGTTGATGTTCCTTTTTTAAAAAATGGCATTTATTTGTTGATTGATTAAGATGGAGGAGTCTTGCTATGTTGCTCAAACTGGACTCGAACTCTCCTGGGCTCAGGTGATCCTCCCATTTCAGCTTCAGCCTCTACTGTGCCCAGCTTGATCTTCTTTGGAATAAACCCTCAACTTTGGCCAGGCACAGTGGCTCACGCCTGTAATCTCAGCACTCTGGAAAGCTGAGGTGGGTGGATCATGAGGTCAGGAGATGGAGACCATCCTGGCCAACATGGTGAAACCCCGTCTCTACTAAAAATACAAAAATTAGGCCGGGTGCGGTGGCTCATGCCTGTAATCCCAGCACTTTGGGAGGCCGAGGCGGGTGGATCATGAGGTCAAGCAATCGAGACCATCCTGGTCAACACGGTGAAACCCCGTCTCTACTAAAAATATATTAAAAAAAAAAATTCACTGGGCATGGTGGCGCGTGCCAGTAATCCCAGCTACTCAGGAGGCTGAGGCAGGAGAATTGCCTGAACCCAGGAGGCGGAGGTTGCGGTGAGCCAAGATCGCGCCATTGCACTCCAGCCTGGATAACAAGAGCAAAACTCCGTCTAAAAAAAAAAAAAAAAAAAAAAATTAGCCAGCTGTGGTGGTGCGTGCCTGTAATCCCAGCTGCTCAGGAAGCTGAGGCAGAAGAATCGCTTTAACCCGGGAGGCAAAGGTTGCAGTGAGCTGAGATTGCACCATTGCACTCCAGCCTGGGCAACAGAGCGAGACTCCGTCAAAAAACAAAACAAAACAAAACAAAAAAGCCTCAACTTTAAGGTCAAGGCTGCTACCTAGCATTTCACAAAGTGTTCAGTTATTCATAGGTTGCTACAGGCAAACTTGGAAAAAGTTTGCCAGCCAGCATAACCTTCAAGTTGAACCTAAAGTAACATTTACTACAAGCTTGTCCAACCTGCAGCCTGAAGGTAGATGGCTTTTAATGTGCCCCAATACAATTCATAAACTTTCTTAAAACATTATAAGATTTTTTTTGAGTTTTTGTTTTGTTTTGGTTTTTGTTTTTAGTTCATCAGCTATCGTTACTGCCAGTGTATTTTGTGTGTGGCCCGATGTGACAATTCTCCTTCCAATGTGGCCTAGGAAACCCAAAAGATTGGACATCCCTGATTTACTTATTTTTATATCATCTTTTTGGATTGAAAAGGCTGAAAAAATTTTAAAAATATACAAACTATTTTTACATCAGATGAAAGGAAAAAAGACAGAAACAGATGCAAACATCAAGTCCATGCTATTAATAGAAGAAATGGCTACTTTCGAAGCACAAGCTGACTCCCTGGTGAGTGAGCAAATATTTTTATCAGCTCTACTGGAAAAAAAAGAAATATCTCTCTACTCTAATTATCAAGGCAGTAGTAACAAAATCAAAGCGTAGACATTTGATAGGTATTAGTTGGCATAGTTTAATTTGAAGCAGACAAGATTTGGTATTTTGAAAAGCGTGCTACTGGACTAAAAATTAGCAGAGGAATCACTCCAGACAGAAAGGAAAAGAACAATGAAAACCAGCAAAACAATTATTTTTATGTTAAAGCTCAAGATACAAGACCATCATCAGATCAATCTTCCTAGAAAAGCAGTTTCTCCAGGTCACTCACCTATCTAAAAATCTTAAATATTCCTCATAGTCTACAGGAGAGAGTAAAAAAACCTATCAAGGTAAGAGAGCTGCCAACTACTTTCCTATTTTTTTTTTTTTTTTTTTTTTTTTTTTGAAACAGAGTCTTACTCTGTCCCTTAGGCTGGAGTGCAGTAGGGAAACCTTGGCTCACTGCAACCTCCATCTCCTGGTTTTAAGCGATTTTCCCACCTCAGCCTCTGGAGTAGCTGGGATTACAGGCAGGTGCCACCACGACCAGCTAATTTTTGTTTTTAGCAGAGATGAGGTTAGGGCCAGGCTGGTGTCGAACTCCCAACCTTGGGCCTCCCAAAGTGCTGGGATTACAGGAGTGAACCACCACACCCGGCCTACCTTCCAATTGGGCCAGACTGGTTTCCTTACTTGTTGCAGGCAAGAACCAACCATGCTCATTTCAGCTCTGTATCCACAGTGCCTAACTCGGCACCTGACACACAGTAGTTGCTCAGTAAATGTTTGTTAGTTCAACAACTTGAATGATCTGAGGCCTGTGCTCTCGGTGCTGCACTCCTGGGAAGGCCTCATCCAACCCACCGTTCTTTGAAGGCCAGCTCAACTTCCTGCACTCTTCTCAGCCTAACACTGAAGCAACCTGCCCTTGCCATTGCCTTCTCCCACTCTGGATTCCCACCAAATCCAATCACTTCTGATCTTTATTGTTATTTAAACATTTCCTGTTTCTGTGTTTTGTCTGCTCCACCAAACTGGGAGTTTCTTGAGGACAGCAGAATTTTCAAGGCAGTGAGGAGCACTGGAAAGATTATTGATCTGTGACAGGCAAACCTAGTTACATGACTTGGAGAAAAATGTTTATAAAACTCTTCAAACAATGCTTAGAACGTAGAATGCACTTCATAAATGCTGGCTACTATCATTATTCATCTCTCGGAACACCTCAGTTCTCTCACTTATAAAATGGAGTGATAAGTTCTACGTCAAGTGGTCTTCATATGGAACAGGAGTCTCTAGGACCTTCCTAACACACAGGAGCCACTCAATAGCCACCTGGCAGTTATTATTACAAAGACTCCTGCTGGGTGCAAAGAAGGTGCTTAATAGAAGTTTATGGGATGAGCTGAAGGAACAAGTGAGAAAAATGTATTCTCATATCAATTCATACATCAACAGAAACACTTTCAGTCATTCAACAAACATTTATTAAGGCCTTATCAGGTTTTGTTCTAGGTTTGGGATAATACAGTAAAAACAGTCCTTGTCTTATGAAACCTACATTCTAAAGGGGAGGCAAACAATAAGCAGAGAAAGACAAATCAGTTAAAGTTTGGTGTTAAGTGCTATGAAGAAGAAGAAAAAAAGGTAAGCCCTTGGAAAAGGGCTGCCTTAAGATGTGGCATTTAGGCAGAGATCTGGATCCTCAAGAAAGCTTGATTTTGTGAGACTCATCCTCACCCTCACAAGACTCCAGGAGTTCCTCCACTCCTCTAGCACCGAGAGACCCTGTACAACCAAGGAGGCTGCAGTTTGACTTCTAGTGCCTCTCTCTCAACACAGATCAAACACATTCAGCTACAAACTGCTGAATGAGCAACTGCGAACTTATTTTTTGTTATACTTTTTGAACTGGCAACTTAAGCTCCAAGAGGGAGTAAACTGATTACAGCCATACCACAACTGGTCTGTTCCCCAGAAAGTTCAGATCACTGTTCTCTCCAAACAGGTAACCTTCAGGATGAGTTGAGTCAAACTTCTCTCCTCCCATAATAAAGTGGCTGGCAAAATAGCTTCCTAGAGAGAAACAAACAGAAAAAAAAAATCAAACAACCAGAAAACAAACTATATGTAATTTTTAAAAAGCTGATTTTTAAAAATGTTAAGCCTTTGGGCTGTGTGTGGTGGCTCACACCTGTGATGTGACTGGGTTTGGAGAGCTTCCAAACAGGGGAATACTTGAAGATTTCTCAATACTTTGGGAGGCTAGGGCAGGCAGATCACTTGAGGTCAGAAGTTTGAGACCAGACTGGCCAACACAGCAAAACCCTGTCTCTACTAAAAATGGAAAAATTAGCCGGGTGTGGTGGTATGTGCCTGTAGTCCCAGCTACTCAGGAGGCTGAGGTAGGAGGATCTCTTGAACCCGGGAGATCGAGGTGCAGTGAGCTGAGATCCTGCCACTGTACTCCGGTCTGCGCGACAGAGCAAGACACTGTTTCAAAAAAACAAAAAAGTTAACCCTTTGAATGAATAATTAGAGCAATTTCTAATCCCAAAAGTGTTTTCTTTTCCTGATTTGGGACAATGGCACAAAATAAGTAAAATCATAGCAGGGAAAACCCAAGATACCAAACATAGAATAGATCACCGTTTCCCTTTTAACATTCTTAATTGAATTCTTCTCATGATCTGTCTAAAATACCTCCAGTCAAAAGACCAAGAGGTCCTACAATGCACATTAATGATCATATATATCTTTTTGTTCCTGATTTTTGCCCTTAAATTTGAAGTAGTTATTCCATGTGTTGAAGAATCTCAGATACAGGCATCAGCATATATATACACTATGATATTATAAAATACTTGTTTAATCTTCAATCCATTTCCTGGAATACAACTCTTAAAATCTTTGGAACATCAAGGCCAGGCACGGTGGCTCACACCTATAATCCCAGCACTTTGGGAGGCCAAGGGGGAGGCCATCACTTGGGATCAGGAGTTAGGGACCAGCCTAGCCAACATGGCAAAACCCTGTTTCTACTAAAAATATAAAAATTAGCCAGGTGTGGTGACACACGCCTGTAGCCCCAGGTACTTGGGAGGTTGAGGCAGGAGAATTGCTTGAACCTGGGAGGCAGAGGTTGCAGTGAGCTGAGATCACGCCACTATACTCCAGCCTAGGCAACAGAGAGAGACTCCCATCTAAAAAAAAAAAAAAAAAATCCTTGGAATATCCAAAGTGATGTCCTTTTGTTTTTTGAGACAGAGTCTCTGTTGCCCAGGCTGGAGTATAGTGGTGTGATCTCAGCTCACTGCAACCTCCACCTCCTGGGTCAAGCTATTCTCCTGCCTCAGCCTCCCGAATAGCTGGGATTATAGGCACCTGCTACCATGCCTGGTTAATTTTTGTATCTTTAGTAGAGATGGCGTTTCACCATGTTGGCCAAGCTGGTCTTGAACTCCTGACCTTGGGTGATCCACCCACCTTGGCCTTCCGAAGTGCTGGGATTACAGGTGTGAGCCACCTCCCCAGCCAAAGTGATGTCTTTACATATGCTAATGAATTAACCAGTGGCTGGCTGCCCCTAGGTAGCCTCAGGATGGTGGCTGGTCACTGGAAAGAACATGGCAGAATTAGAAGGTTGGGACTTTCAGCCTATCCCCCAACCACTGAGGAAGGGAAGAGGGGCTGAAAGTTATCACCAATGTCCAATGATGTAATCAACCATGCTATGTAATGAAGCTTCCATAAATATCCAAAGGACTGGGTTCGGAGAGCTTCCAAACAGGGGAATACTTGGAGGTTTCTGGAGGGTAGCATGCCCAGAGACGGCATGGAAGCTCTGTGCCTCTTCCCACATAACCTTGCCCTGTGTTCCTCGCTCTGTATCCTTTGCAATATCCTTGATAATAAACTGGTAAATCTGTTCCCCTAGTTCTGTGAGCCTCTCTAGCAAGTTAATCAAACCCAAGGAGGGGGTTATAGGAACCCTGCTTTCTGGTTGGTTAGCCGGAAGCACAGGTAAAACAACCTGGGGCTTGCGATGGTCATCAGAAGTTGGGGGCAGTCTTGCGGGACTATACCTTCAACCTGTGGGATCAGACGTTATTTTCAGGTAGTTATCAGAACTGAAATGAATTGGAGGACACACAGCTGATGTCCTCTGCAGAACTGAGTGGTTGCTGGTGGGAAGAATCCCCACACATTTTGCTGACCAGAGGATACAGAAGTTTTCTTTGCTGCTTGTGTTGTGAGAGTATAGGAGAAACTGACTTTTTCCCTATATCTGCAGATACATTTCTTTGCCTAGATTTTCATAACCCAGCTTAAAGCTACACACAGAAATCTTGGTACCCACCTATTACTACTTCTATACCTCTATAACCTTCTATGATGAAGGTTCTTCTTCATCATAACTTGCTTCAAAACATGACTGTCTCATAGGAAAATATGAATTTAAATAATACACCTATCCCTGGCTTTCCCTATCAATTACCACACCGACTATGGTATAAAATAAGAGGACAATTTAATGCTATGAAAGAAGGCTACACACATATCCTCTCCACCTCAAATTTATTAACAGTGCTAATGGCCAGAGTCGCTGGGATGCTGGGACATCAGTCATGGCAGGGCCTCTTTGTCCCTTCTTAATCAGCCAGGAGGCAGAAATATTTTCAATACAATATATAACCAAATGAAACCAGCAGTCAGGGCCAAAATTCCCATCAGCCTCATCCAGACAAACCAAGGAACGGTGCCAGGATATGACAGAACTGAGAAGTCACCAAAGGAGGCTTAGGTTATGCTGAAAATTCCATCTGGGAATACATTTTAAATTTGATGATTAAACAAATGCCTCTTACCCCTAATTTCTGTTGTCTAATTCTCCCATGAAGGTAAGCTCTTCAAAGTAAAGAACACATCCCGTAATATACCTTTATCAACACTCTCATATACCCCATTTCTGAAATTAATACAAAGAACTTACAAATGGTGAAAGGCTTGCTTGTGTATAATACAGTGAGAATACACAAACTCCCCAAATCAGTTACAATTTTTGTTGAAGATTTGTAGCAGGTAGGGTGTGATGGGTCTTGCCTGTAATCCCAACACTCTGGATGGCTAAGGCAGGAGGATTGCTTTAGGCCAGGAGTTCAAGACCAGCTTGGGCAACATGGCAAGACCTTGTCTCTACTAAAAATAAAAATAAAAAAATACAAAATACAAAAATACCCGGGCATAGTAGCCTGCACCTGTAGTTCTACCTACTCAGGAGGCTGAGACAGGAGGGTCACTTGAGTTTAGGAGTTAAAGGTTGCAGCGAGCTACGATCATGCCATTGCACTCCAGCCTGGGGAGCCCCTGTCTCAAAAAATAATAAAGAAATAAAGAAAAAAGAAAAGAGTAAAAAAATATTTATAGCAAACTAAAAAAAAAAAATGAGATTTGGCTCTTTGAGCCTGTGGAGAAGCCATAGGAAGGAAGACAGAGAAGAAAATTCTAGCAAAAACTGAACCAAATATTTATTTATTTATTTATTTATTTATTTATTTATTTATTTATTTATTGAGACGGAGTTTCGCTCGAGTGCAATGGCGCGATCTCGGCTCACCGCAACCTCCGCCTCCTGGGCTCAGGCAATTCTCCTGCCTCAGCCTCCTAAGTAGCTGGGATTACAGGCACGCACCACCATGCCCAGCTAACTTTTTGTATTTTTAGTAGAGACGGGGTTTCACCTTGTTGACCAGGATGGTCTCGATCTCTCGACCTCGTGATCCACCCGCCTCGGCCTCCCAAAGTGCTGGGATTACAGGCTTGAGCCACCGCGCCCGGCCCCAAACATTTATTTTTAAAATTTTCTACACATGGAGCTTTAGACTAGAAACACCTATTAAACAAAACAATTTGGATAAAGTCACTCACCACAAAGTGAGACAACTGTTGAATTAAACAACCAGGAAAACATTATTTGAGGGTAATAATACAGACAAAATCAAAGCAATCACTGAGGAACTCTTGAAAGTCACCAATCAAAACTTAAAGAGACAAAGGGCAGCCATCTGCAGTGATACAACAGTGGAATTCATCATCTAGGAAAGCTTAATTATCAATTATTTATGTCTAGCACTTGCTAGCCCTATTTTCCAAGTGCATAATTTATGGAGAGGGGAGGTACCTAGTTGCCTTAAGTAGAAGCAGGTATCTCAAATAATTTAAGTCATTTACTGATGAACCTTAGTGAGACATTTTTGTGTACATTAGGGATTTTATGTTTATCATACACTAGGTAAAATTGGAAGAGTTAAAGATGTTACATGGATGGATGGCTTGCCCAAATCACGAATAAAGAAAGGGGAGAAGAGAGAGAGTTTGACGTCTGGAGTTGTCTAGGTTGACCTCAGGGTGGGACCACTGAGCTTCCAGTACCTGTGAGAGCTTGGGAGAAGGATCTGAGGGAGTAAAATCCATGGATGATTAGCTTAGAGGTGGCCATGATTGAACCTAGAGAGAGAGGAGCATTAATGATTTGGGGGCTAAAGAGTTAAAGCAGGCAACAGGGTTCTATTAGAAATGCCTTTTTATGCCATAATATTAAAAGAAAATAAATGACCACAAAAGATGTGTAGGGCTAATTGTAGTTTTGCCTTGCATTAAAATCAAAAATAGTCTGGGCATGGTGGCTCACACCTGTAATCCTAGCACTTTGGGAGGCCAAGATGGAAGGATCACTTGAGCCCAGGAGCTCAAGACCAGCCTAGGCAACATGGTGAGGCTCTGTCTCTGTATATTAAAAAAAAAAAGAAAAGAAACGATGGTATATTCAGTCAGTAGAGTATTATGAAGTCATTCAAAGTGGTGGTGTAAATCTGTATCTACTGACATTAAAAATGTTCACAATATATTACAATTAGGCCCTCATCTCTACAAAAAAATTTAAAAAATTGCTAGGTACTGTAGCACAAGCCTGTGGTCCCAGCTACTCAGGAGGATCAGGTGGGAGGATCACTTGAGCCCAAGAGGTCAGGTCTGCCATGAGCCATGACTGCACCACTACATTCCAGCCTGGGTAA